CTCTGCCATCTGCCCCAGCTGTGCCAAACCCTGCACTGCCCACGGAGAAAGGTTAACCCCTTGGCTGCTGGACAGACAGCAGCCCCTCCTCCCTGCTTCCAGAGGCACCGCGGAGGGGCTCTAGGGCTGGAACGCTCCGAGCAGGAGCAATGCTTAAAGCAACCCAGGGCTCAGAAGGAGCCTGGCCCTGTTGTGTTTGTGCTCTGACGAGAGAGATGACTTCAGCGTTTAAAGGTCAAGCCAGGTCCAGGGAAGAGATTGCACAAAGTTTTCCTCTGCTGCCAGCACTGGGGTGCAAAGTCCATGCAGGGCTGAGGTGACAAGGGGCAGGGTTCACACCTCAAAGCAGAACCCGCCTGGAAAGGACCAGGCAGATTTGCCTCAAGCAGCTTTCTTGGGGGGGTTGTAACAGGAGAAAGGATGGCTGGATGCCACCAAGAGAGAGGTTTCCAGCGCCGCACCAAAACACACGTCCACACGCCCGGCACTGCTTCGCTGCCTCCCTCCCTGCACGCTCTCCCGGAGAGCAGAGGCGACACGGAGCTTGAGCAAACATAATCAGCCAAGTAAGCGAGAGCAGGAAGCAGGCAGAAGGCTTTAATAATTCAGAGAGGATAGGGAGTGTGGGGAAGCAGGTCAGTGCTGGTGGCACAGGCTCTTGGCAGTGAGCAAAGCCACTCCAGCCACCACGTGTACCCGTCCCTAGTGGGCACCGATGCTTGGGGACTGCTGGTCCCTCCTGCCTGCAAATGTCTCCCTGGGCTTTGACTGTGGAAGATTTCCTTGGCACCAAGCCCTGGGCATGACTGCAACTCCAAGTGACCTGGCTGTGAGTGCTGGGGAGGTGGAACAGCCCCAAAACCCCAGTGCATGCTCCTGCTGTGAGGACTTCTGCTCCAGCACGGGCTTTCCCAATCCTGCCTCTCCAAAGCTGTGTTTTCAAGCCTGCCTCCCCCATCCCGCAGGGACTGCTGAGGGATTTAGTTTCACTGTCGGCACCCACACCCACTCAAGAAATGTTTTGTGTTAGGCCAGCTGAAAACAGCAGAAAAGAGCTCATCTAACCCAGCACGGCCAGCTACTCTAGGGCCTGGGTGTTGTCTTGCGGGTTTGCGGGATGCAGGCCAGGCTTGCGATGCTATGGGATGCAGTGCATCCCGCCCCTCTGCCCTTTGTGAGCTGCAGGAAGGTTTGCTCCACATGCACTGCAATTTTGGGGCATCCTGAGGGTGAAAGGCAGCTTTGGGGTGTGCAGGCAGAACCTGTCTGGCAGCGCAGGACTCATCCCCATGGTGTGCTGAGACCGAGATATAGCACAAGATTAGGAGCAGGGCAAATTGTTGCCTCCAGCTGGAGTGGGGAGAAGCCAGGGCTTTGGAGTGGCAGCCTCCCTGGGGGTGGGTGGGCACTGCTGGCAGATGGGAGGAAGCAGCCCTGGGAAGCTTAAGAGTGGCCTTGAGCTCAGTGCATGCTTGTCATTCCTGGAGGGTTTGCTGGGGCGGCCAGTGGCCTGGCCGCAGCCCTGCGAGGAGGCGGTGGGACTGGTGCTTTGCTGGGAGCTAGAGAAACACCCAGCTGGGCAGGGACAGGGCTGAGGTCGTCACATACACAGCAGCAGCCCAGGGAGTGAGTTCATAGAATTATGGAAGGTACCTTTAAAGATCATCTAGTCCAGCCCTCCTGCAGTGAGCAGGGACTTCTTCAACTAGATCAGGTTGCTCAGAGCCTCGTCCAACCTGACCATGAATGTTTCCGGGGATGGGGCTTCTACCACCTCTCTGGGCAAACTGTTTCTTCCTTATATCTAGTCTAAAACAACCTTCTTTTAGTCTAAAACCTTTACCCGTTGTGATATTGCAACAGGCCCCGAGTTCAGGGCTCAGGGCCTCCCCCAAAAAAAGCCCTTCCCCTGTGGAGCAACGGGGAGAGATGCACCAAAGGCATAGCCTTCACCCCAGCCCTGCCAGCACCATGCCTTCTTCCATTTCCAGTGCCTGGGGAAACTGAGGCACAGAAGGGTGAGCCTCCACCTCTGTCCTGCACACGCCGTGCAGATGCACAGGCTCGGCAGCACGGCATGTGCTGGCAGACATGGTGCAGGGTGACACAGGGCTGGGAAGGAGCCATGTGATGGAGGCATCACCCAGCACAAGGACAAGGCACCCTTGTTGGGCTGAGACGTGCTCAGCCACCCAGCAAAGCAATCTGAGCAGGGCTGGGGTCCAGAGCAGGCTGGGGAGGAGGGGAGAGGTGCTGGGGGCATCCCAGGAGGATCACAGCCTCTCCCTACCCCTCCAGCTGTGGGAAGGCACCACGGCTGTCATCGGTCCCCACATCCTGAGCGCTGAGGACGAGGACTCCCCGGCAGAGGAGGTGACCTACTCCATCCAGCCCCCAGCGAATGGGAAGGTTGTGCTGAGGTCAGCACCTGGCACTGAGGTCCAGCGGTTCACCCAAGCCCAGATAAACAACGGCCTCATCCTCTTCGTGCACCAAGGTAGGGCTGAGGTGCCCCAGCCCCTTGGCAGCACCCCCAGGCTGAGGGGGGGGAAACTGTGCCATCGAGGCAGATGCTAACCCCATCACACAGCATGGTACAAACTGTGCTAGGTTAATGGGGCACTGCAGCCCCCTGCCTCCCATAAATGCCCAGCTCTGTGCTTTCCACAGGGCCCCTGGATGGGGGATTCGCCTTTGACCTATGGGATGGTGAGAACCTGTCTCCTGGGCACTTCTTCCTCGTCAGGGCCCAGAGAGAGCCCTTCATCAGCCTGGCCAAGAAGCAGAGCCTCACTGTCTGCCCAGGTGGGTATGGGCACATCCTCCATCCTCCCAGTTTGATGGCAGCTGGGGCCCTTAGACCTCCACCACACCCTGCCCCATGGCAGAGGCTGCAGGCAAGTGACAGGTTGACATCCGTACTGGGCGTGTTTTCCAGGTTCCCTGCAGCCCATCACCAGCCAGAACCTGCAGGCAGTGAGCAACAGCCCTGCCAGCTCCACCGCCCTGTACTACAGCATCGAGCAAGCCCCGCGCCTGGGCAGGCTGAGCACCTCCCAGGGGGAGGAAATCAGGAATTTCACCCAAGCCCAGGTGAGCTTTCACTTCCCCCAGCCACCCGACACAGAGCCCTCCATCACCCCACAACTGCAGCCTGGGGGTCTCAGCCCCCCCCCTGTGTTGCCATGGGCAGAGCTCCCTGATCCCTGGCAGGAGGCAGGGCAAGGCTGCAGCCACGGCGTGACTTTCCCAGTTCCGCCAAGGGTTGCTAGAAGGGATTAAGAGCTGCTGCTCCAGCACCGGCTTTACCACGGCCACTAGCCTCAGACTTAGTGCCAGGGGAGGTTCAGGGAATTATAATCCCCTTTTCTACCTCCCTGCTGCAGACCCAGCCATCCTGGCTGCTGCCTAAAGCAAAAGCCAGCCATGATGCTTTTCACACATGCTCCAAGCAAAAGCCTTGCTACCACCGTTCTCCCCCAGGACCAGACTTTCACAGAGCACAGCAAAGGGCTTCTTTCTAACCCTCACTTAGAAGCATGCAGGTTTGCCCACACCACAAACTCCCTTGGTGCTCACCCTTGGAGGATGCTGAGCATGTTTAGCCCTTCCTCCAAGCCTCAGTTTCCCCCATCACTGGCCAAAACAGCCCTGGCAGAGAGGCATTGTGAGCTCTTCATAGTGGCTACCTCTCATGGTTAATGATCCCTATTTCCTGTCTAATTAGGGCTTGGATGCTCCTTCCAGGAGCCAAGATAAGAGCCTAGAGTGCACACATCAGCTCCAGCACAGCATCATCAGGATTCATCCCCAGTGACCAGCACACCAGAGATGAAATAGATGCACTCATCTCTCATGTGGTATCTCCCACTCTGTATATTTATTTTGCCATTTAGCAGAGCTCATTGAGGGTTTTTTATTTATTTATTTTTAGGTGGACAATGGGTTGATTTTCTACCAGCATGAGATGTCAGAGAAGCCCTTTTGGCTAGCCCAAGATGCCATTCGCTTCCGTGTGGTTGCTCCCACCACCATCTCTGATTCCTTCATCCTCCTCGTGCTGATCTCCTTTGAGGCCCAGTGTCCCGAGCGCTCGACTCAGCTATGGAGAAATGCAGGTAAAGGAGTGAGGGAGAAGCAAGGGACAAACAAGCCCTTCTGAGGTTTGCACAACTTCAGAAGGGCTTGTTTGTTCAAAGAAGACACCACCATCCAATTTCCCACAGCCACACAAGCAGGAGCTTTGATGTGTAAAGCAACATCTAAAATTGCATCCATCCTTTTGCTGGGTCGCTGTGCAGTTCCTTCCTCCATCACCTTGAAGTGATGCATCCAAGTTACTTCCTCATCTCTCCCCATTTCTTTGCAGTCCTCCTTTTTCTGCTCTAACATGCTCTCACCTGGGTCTGCTCTCCTCTCCAGCAGATCCTGGCTCTTCCCAGGAATGATAGACTTTGGAGTTTTCCCTTTTTTTCCTCCCCAGGGCTCCAGCTGGCAAGGGCTCAACAGGCCAAGATCAACACCTCAGTGCTGGACGCTTCCAACCTCCTAAGCCAAATCCTGGTCCCCGAGAGGGCTGCACATGATGTTGTCTTCCTGGTGACCGGGCTGCCGGCTCACGGACAGCTCTTAGTGGCCGGTGTGCCTCTGGAACAGTCACGGCCGTTCTTCCTGCAGTCAGACCTGGTCACAGGACAGCTGGTGTACGCCCATGGTGGGGATGACATCTCTGAAGACTCTTTCAGATTTAAGGCTTGGCTTCGCCCCCGGGCACAGCAGTCCATCCGTCCTCCACAGGAAGGAGTGGTCATCTCCGAAGCTTTCAACATCACTGTGACCAGCAGCAGCAGCAAGCCACTGCGGGTGGTGAGGCGACAAAAAGTGTTGCAGGTCCCAGCAGGCTCCATGGTGACCTTATCCCAGGAGTACCTCGATGTGGCAGATCCATCGGTTTCCCCAGAGGAGTTGGTGTACAGCATCTTCCAGAGACCCCTCACTGGCCACCTTGCCAACGCCTACAACCCACGGGAGCCCATCAACCGCTTCACCCAAGCAGATGTCAACACAGGCCACGTGGTGTTTGTTGCCACCAGGAGCCGTGCCCCAGGGTCCTTAGCCCTGAGCCTCTCCGATGGCCGCCACCCACCCACCTTGACCTCACTGGAGATCAAGGTGCTACCTGCAGTGAGCACTGCTGCCAGCCCGGTGCTGCTGGAGGTGCCCCAAGACCTGAACAGGGCCTCTGTGTCCCACCGCCACCTCCTGGGAGCTGCACAGCGAGTGACAGGCAACCCCCTGTACAGGATCACCAGGGACCCCAGGTTTGGCCAAGTGCAAGTCAACCAGAAGCCGGCACGGAGCTTCTCACAGAAGCAGCTGGACCGTGGGGAGGTGACCTTCACTTTCACTGACCTCACCTCTCCTGAAGATGACTTCCAGTTCCTCGCCACGTCACGGGCAGCAAACAGGACCGGCACGGTGAACGTGACCGTTCGCGCATTGGTGAAAGCTCGGCCGGGCAGCATGTGGCCCAGGGGCACCACAGTCCTCCTGGACACCAGCATCCTCGATGCCAGCCAGCTGGCCAACCACACCAAGAGTGTCCCAGTCTTCAAGATGCACAGGGCGCCCCGTGCCAGCCGTCTCGTGAGGGGCTCCCGAGACTCACAACCCACCACACCCATTGAGACCTTCAGCCAGAGCGAGCTGGAGCAAGGGCTGGTTGGGCTGGAGGTGCTGGATGCTGGGGAGAAGCCCCAGCCTCTGCAGGGCGACAGCTTTGTCTTTGAGCTGTCAGCCACCGGCGTGCCACCGGCACTGGCATCCCTGGGGTACAGCACTGAACCCTACAACACCTCCAAAGCCTACAGCGTCACCGTGCTCACAGTCCCCCTGGCACCCTCACCCCGAGTGCCCCAGGGCACATCGTGGAGCAGCCCCAACGCAAGCGAGCTGGGGATGGTCCCCACCACCTGGCCGGGCCCTGGTGCCACCACCAGTCCCGCGGAGGGGGGTACCTTCCTCAGCTTCATCGAGGCCAACATGTTCAGCATCATCATCCCCATCTGCCTCATCTTGCTCCTCCTGGCCCTCATCCTGCCCCTTCTCTTCTACCTGCATAAGCGCAACAAGACGGGGAAGCACCACGTCCAGGGCACCCCCTCCTCCAAGGCCAAAAACGGGGCTGTGCCAGACCAGGAGACATTCCGGAGGACGGACCCCAACCAAGGCATCCCCCTAACAACTGTCAATGCCCTGGAGGGCAAGGGCACAGGTCCCCCACCCCAGGGCACGGGTCCTGGGGCACCACCGGATCCCGAGCTCCTCCAGTACTGCCGGACTTCCAACCCCACTTTGAAAAACAACCAGTACTGGGTGTGAAGGGCTCAGGTGTGGGGCCACGAGACTGCCTGGGGGTCCCGACCCTCCCGGAGCACCGCTAGCCGCCTCCTCCTGTCTCTCCTCCTCTTCCTCCCTGGGAGCTGGCAGCCCAAAAATGTGGGAGGGCCTTGGGGATACAGAGGCTGCCGATCCAGCCCACCCGGGATCCACGAATCTCTGAGTGGCTTTGGGCAGGGGAGGGGGGCACTGCATAAGCAAGTGAGGGCAGGCAAACTGCCCGAGCATCCCTGGGGAACACTGACTTTGGCGGCTCATTTGGGTTACCCAATGGTGGCCACCATGCTGGAGGGGACCTGGTGGCACCGAGCACCACAAAGCCACGCAGGTAGGTCAATGGTGGCTCCTCCTTAGACAGCCACGGAGGTGTTTGCCACAGCTCTTGGGGTGAGAGGGAGGATGAGGAGCTGCTCAGCTGAGTCAGGATGGGGATGAAGCTGCCCAAATCCCCCAGGGCTAGGCAGGCTGAGACACTGGAGCTTGGAAAAAAAGTGTGGCCAATGCCAGGGGAATTTAAGGAGTCCCCACCCACTCGGAAAGAAACCACCACCAAACCCGCCTTGCTCTTCCTCTGCGTGCTTGCTGCGTGTTTCATAAAGCAGATTGTAACTGAGCCCCCGGGGGGGTTGCACAACAGGTAGGGCGCCTTCCGTGGGGAGGGATGGCAGGAACTCACCTGGGCAGCGTGAAATTGGAGAGCGGAGAACCGGAGCTAGCGCGGTTTTTCCACTGTATACTCCAGTACAGCCGAAGTAAACAGAATAAAGTGCCTTTTCCGAGGTGCATCACAGTTTTCGTCAGCTGTCTCCCTTGCCAGGCCTGTTTTAAGCCCAGCGAGCTGCTGAGCAACACTTGGAGGTAATGGACTAAATTCTGGGCTCTTGCTCAAAATTTCCCCAGCCTGAAGTCCTAAAAACTTAAATAGAAATCGTCTGAGGAAGAGCAGAGGAAAAACTGATCCCTGAGCTCAGGATGGGACCCAACAATAATACCCTGCATGGCTACAGCTGGGAAGATCATCACAGGGCACATCCCACTCTCACACCATTGATGGGAAGATGAAATGAGCCCCTGCGGACTGTGGGCAATGTTTTACGTTTACACCCCCTTTAAGTCCTTCTGAGGATTGCCCTCTCCTCCTCAATAAATCAGCATCTCAGGGTCATCTCACTCCAAGGCTACAGCAAAGCTGAGGTGCTTGCTTTGATCACGCTGGCAAGTTTTCCTGCCTGCCCTTGTGGTGTCAACTTGTTGTTCACTGACAGGCAAGATCTCTCCAGCTCCGCCAGGTACCTCCAGCCCCATTTATCCTGACCTGCCCCATGGCACAGGCAAGACTAGGCACGGTGGAGGCAGCCCTAGCACCTCCAAGATAGCTTGTGCCAATGGGTGCCAAGACTGCACAACGCTGCTGCAACCTCCCAACCCTCCTCCTGCCCCATCCGAAGAGGGGAATCAAATAAAAAAAAACAAACCAAAAGCATTTCTTTCTGCTCAGAGGCAAAGTGTATCCCCTCCCCTCTGTAAAACGGGGACAGGGTAACCAGGCTGCCCATGCCACAGCTCAGAGCTTGCCGGGGCAGTGCTGCTGCCGAAAGGTTGGGAGGATCCTCTCCCTCCCTCTTCCACACCACAGCTCTGCACTTTCCTCAGCACATTCAAACAAGCACATTTATTATCTTTGCCAATTATGTACCCCCAGCGAGAGATGGAGGCTTGCAGGGAGGCCAGTGGCCCCCCCCGAGGGCCCCCTTTGGAAGCACCTGCCGTGTTTTCCTTTCCAATGATTTTTGCCTCGCACCCGGGGATTAAATTGAAGGAACGTGGCCTCTTTTGTAAGGAGCATTGAAAGCGAGGCAGGTTATTTTTAAGGCTTGCAGTTGTATTCCCGCTGCTGGGAGACATCCATTTCCTGAGGTCAGGGGAGGACAGCTGGTAACCTGGAAAACACCATTTCTCTGGGGCCAAGCTCTCCTGGCAGGGCTTAAAACCTGAGTAAAGCTCATGGCTCAGCTTGGGCTGTTTGGGGTTTGCAGCAGGATGGCTGGGGCAGTATCAGGGCCAGCCTTGGTGCTGACCACCACCACCCAGCCAGGGAAGGGCTGAGGGTCCGGCTGGACTCCTGCCCGGCCACAGGACAGACCAACCCCAGCCCCAACAAGCTCAAAAGTTTCTTGGACAGACCCTTTGCCTTCTCTGCATTGGGAGCCAGCACATTCATCGGAGCCCTCACCTTCCCATCCCAGTTTGGGACAGAACTACTCTGATCTGAGAGGTTTTGAGGGCAACAAGAGCTGGGCTGCAGCCTTCTAAGGTTATAAAAGCTTGCAGAGATTTAGGGAAGATGCTTACTGCCGCTCTGCCAGATATGTCCCCCTCCAAAGGCAGGCCAGATGTGCACAGCTGGCTGACAAGAGCCATGAGCTCGCATGCCTTATTTCCAGGGAGCTGACACCAGGTCTTCCCCCAACACCTTCTCCTGCACCCACAGCTGCTGCCATTTCCCCAGGCTGGGCACACCCCAGGTGTCTCATGCCCACACTCCTCCTCTGCCTTTTGCTCCTGGTTTTAAAGCCAGAAAAGCCACCCAGAGCAAGCCTGATGTTCCCAGGGAGCCCTCGCCCCAGGATATGGCCAGAGTAATTTCTTTTGTGGCACCACTAGCAGACCACCCCGTCCTACCCCAACTTCTGAGGATGCCTGGGTTGGGGAATACAAGACAGACCAAGAGGAGAGCCAGCTCCCAGCCAGGCTAAAGTAAAGCGTCAAGTCACAAAGGGAGAACACGGAGTGGCAGAAAGCAGGACAGGAGCCAGAAGCCACCCAGATGCAGAGACAAAGGACAGCAAGCAAGCTGTCGTCACTCAGAGGTGTGACAGACTGGACCTGCCATCACCTCCTAAACGGTAGAAACAGGCATGTCAAAAGCAAGGACACCAAGTAGAACCACCCAGGAGGTGCTAGGACTTGATAGCTGATGTCCTCTGTGCCACCTCCAGGCATCCCGAGGTGACCACCAGATTACCCAGGCTCACAGTTAATTACTAGATTACACGGGGGCTTACACATGGCAAGAAGTGCCAATGAGTTTCACTTCTATTTTGTTCTTAATTACAAAGTCACCCCTACTTTCCATAAGTCCCAGAAGCAGAGAGTTTCTCCTCCTTTGCTGGGAAGCCCCCTCAGCTGGATCCCAGGGCAGGATGTGGCTTGGGCTGGATCCATTGGGAAGTCCCTGTAGCCCTGCCGGGATTTCAGCCCAGTGCTGGGGTTAATGTCCAACGTGAGCTCAGGGCAGGCGGAGCAGCACTGCTCTACAGCTCAGGCAGCCGGCTGGTCCCCAGGCAGGGCAGGGCCAGGCTGTCCTGGGCTGCAGGGAAGGACCATGTTTCAACGACACCCTGCTGCAGAACCCAGCCTAGAAGCTGCAAGGAGAAGGGAGTAAGAGTGGTTTTCCCCTGCCATTTCCTTGGCAGACCCACAGCACCTTTAAAGCAGCCAGAAAACCTTTTCCAACATCCCCTGGCAGCCTGGTCCCATCCTGTGCTGGCCATGGGTCCAAGCACCTTGGCACGGCAAAGCTTCATTCCTCAGGCCACACATAACTGCCTCGAGGAGCGAGAAGGGGACCACAACCCCACCTCCCAGGCATGGCATCTTCAGCAGGCTGGATCCAACACCTCTCCTGGGTTAATAACCATACCAGCATCGTGGTGACAGCACTCAGCAGGACCTGGAGACGCCAGGGCTCGAAGGTGGGATGGACAGAGCAGGAGAGTCTGTCACAGCTCTGGTGACATGAACCAGTTTCCAGGCACCTATTCAAATGCAAACAAATAATAGGCCAAACCGGTTTCTTTCAGCATCCACCCAGGGCAGATAGGATCACTTGGCTTTGAAACCCTCCCACAAGCTTTAGCCATGCAAATGCAGCGGCTCACCAAATGAGGGACTTTATTCCCAGCCAGGCTTCAGGCCAGCACATCCGAGCCCTGCATACAGGACTGGGATCCACACAAGCATCGCACCCCCAGCCTCCAAGCTCTGCTGCTCGAGACCTCCCCAGGCTGCAGGACCCTGTGACAAGGTCACAAGAGGGAGCAAGCACATGAAGCCCCTGAGCTCCCACAGCCAGTCCTGCTCTATTTTAGGGAGGCAAAGTATGGTCCTGGTGCTCCTGCCTCTCTGTCCACATTTCAGAATCACCCTAGGAACTCTCACCAGCCCCAGGGGATGTTCTGAAGGTCACTGGGAGCCAGGATGGACATGCTGGGGTCCCCTCAGAGGCAACAGGTCATGCTCCCCTGACGGCTGGTAACGAGAAGAGGTCTCCAGGAGACCCAACATGGAGGGCAGGAGCACACCTACTCCTCGCCAGGCAGGTGAAGGACCTGACCAGGGTGGCCAGTTCCTCCTAATTGCTGCTCCATATGGGAATTTTGGAGCCAGACCTCAGGCTTGATGCTGCGCAGAGCGACAAGGCTCAGCACCCCCACTCAGCTCTGAGCCAAGCCCAGCACCCCAAGGATGCCAGGAGCTCCCCCTGTGCCAGCTTTCAGCGAGCCATGCCCACAGCCTGCAGAACAGGCTCAGCTGGCAGCCAGCCCGGCAGGACGGGACAGAGCCGGAGGGAAGAGCAAGAGCAGGCTGCTGGAACGTCACCCTGGGAGCACCTCAGGGGAGGTGGGGACAAGAAGCCCATGCAGGGAAGGGGCTGTGCCCAGGAGTCTGGCATCTCGACACCACCTTTTCCACTTCAGATAAAGCTCCCCACACCCTGGCAAGCAGAGGAAAGGATGGAGAGGTGATGGCATGGAGACCAGAAAGCATCCCCCTGCCACGGCTCTCCAGCCCAGCTGCCGGTTTAAATTTAAGACAGATTGAGCCAAACCTCTGTTTCCACACCCAAGGCAGACAGACAGACAATGACGGAGTGACAGCCACATCCCAGAGCCTAGGTTCTCCACCCCCTCCTGCAAAAA